GATTATCTCATGTACTAAGAGTAGATCCAATATTGTAAAAATTTATTGTATGTATGTACCTTACCTAAATAAACATTTTATTTTTTATTGTAGACAAGCTCTAAATCAGTCCATATATATCCCAGTTTCCAGCTCCTAGTCTGTCCCTATATTCCAAGTCCTAGTGACTCCTCATCTCCTAGTTCCTAATATGTGTGTGTACCTACGGGCTCACCATAGCCCGTGCTACTTGAAACTGTTTGTTCCAAGTAGCGAATCTTTAACAACAACAACATCCTAGTATGTCCTTTTCTCCAAGCTCCTAGTATGTCTTTTCCTCCCAGCTCTTAGTCTTTGCTCATCTCCCAGTACTTAATCTGTCCTCTTATCTCTCACAAGAGCTATATTGTCATACAAGCTTACAGCTTTCTCTACATAATTAGTTTACTTCATTAACGACTTTAACAGAAGACATAAAAAAATCAACAATCGTATATAATAGATTGATAAAACAAATAAAAAATGTGTACATTTTTCGTACTGCTAATATACGTTATTAGAATATATTGAAAGGTAAATATGCCACAAACTTATTAAGGATCTCGCTAGAACGCTCTCACAGTCGAGTGTCTGGGCTATAAATTGCTTATGTCCGTGGCAGTGTAAAGGTGATGGACGCCCACACGTGAGCACGCACTCATTGTCTCGCAGGCAACGCGTCTGCAACAATCCCTTCAACAATCTAATGGTTAATATGATGTAAATAGCCGTGATAAAACTCACGCACACTCATAAAAGCAAGCACGCACACTCATAAAAGCAAGCACGCACACTCATAAATGTAAACGCGCACACACACAGACACACTATGAGGTGGACAACACACCAGCAGCCTCCTCCTCTGACCTTTCCTCATGCGTGGCCAGTCCGTTGTTAGTATGACGGTGGTGATTGTCCACCTCAGCTTAAAGGCGAGCGCCTCACATCTTAGTAGCTGCCTGAGATGGTTGGCTGGCTGGCTGCCCTAAAGGGCTATTGGCCGCAGGTTCCCCAGTGGAAGCTCACTATTCTCAAAGGAGTTCTCGCGGCAAGTGGTTAGTGAACGCTCAGTGATGTACTTGGGTTACCTGTTATAGAGGCCCCTGACGCTGCTAAGGGGCAAGTATTCTCAAGGGGCTTCATTACGCTTCGGCAAGCCCTAGTTGCCTTCAGAGAAACTCCTTCGGCACCTCCAGGAGCTGTCAACGGAACTCCTTTACCTCTTAGGAGAAAAGTGGGTGTCCTTGCAAGATCTGTGTTAGTTTTTTTTAGCAAGTACAAAGAAACATGCACACACAGAAGACAAAAAAAGAACTTGATAAGACATGATTACCACGTACAAAATACTCAGGGGAATTGACAGGGTAGATAAGGACGGATTATTTAACATGGGTGGTACACGGGCAAAGCTGAATAGCCAAATGAGCCAGAGAGACATTAGAAAGAAATTGTTCATTGTCAGAGTAGTTAACAAATGGCATGAATGGACTAGGCAATGATGTGGTGGAGGCTGACTCCATACACAGTTTAAAATGTAGATGTGGTAGAACCCAATAAGCTCTGCAACCTGTGCACCAGTTGATTGACAGATGAGAGACGGGACCAAAAAAAGAAGCTCATCCTCCGCAAACTCAATTAGGGGAGTACAATTAGGTAACTACACACACAAACACAAAACACACACACACACACACACACACACACACACACACACACACACACACACACACACACACACACACACACACACACACACACACACACACACACACACACACACACAAACGCAACACACAAACATAACACACAAACACAACACACACACACACACACACACAAACGCAACACACACACACACAAACACAACACACACACACACACACACACACACACACACACACACACACACACACACACACACACACACACACACACACACACACACACACACACACACACACACACACACACACACAAACGCAACACACAAACACAACACACAAACAAAACACACACACACACACACACACACACACACACACACACACACACACACACACAAACGCAACACTCAAACACAACACACACACACACACACACACACACACACACACACACACACACACACACACACACAAAACGCAACACACAAACACAACACACAAACATAACACACACACACACACACACACACACACACACACACACACAAACGCAACACACAAACACAACACACAAACATAACACACACACACACACACACACACACACACACACACACACACACACACACACACACACACACACACACACACACACACACACACACACACACAAACGCAACATACAAACACAACACACAAACATAACACACACACACACACACACACACACACACAACCTTCACACTGAAAAACGTTCACAGTCACCATAGTAATAGCAAACATTTGGTGACAAATGAGGATAATGAAGTCCCTAATATGGTGGAGTCACGGAGCCACTACCTTTGTGTGTTTCCTAATTAGCCAGACCTTGCACCTATAATTATTCTCATTAATTATTACAGTCAATCAGATTTAATTGCACGTTGTCACGTTTTGAAGACACGTGAACTATTAGTTTTCCTTTGTATATGAATTATTTTATTTTTATTTTTATTAATATGATGTTCATAAGCTTTAAAAACTTTTCATCTTGTCATATTAAATTGATTTCTTTTGTTATAAAAATATTTTGGACAAAATTTTGCAAAATAGAGCAGGAGTGTTTTCATTAGAAACTCATATTTCACAGGAAAATATGTGAAGATCTAAATAACAGATTTCTAGAGTTGTTCAAAGTGAAACTGGAAAAATTGCTTGACATGGACGAGAAGATTCCACCTCAACTCCTCAGACAAAACTGAGTACAATTGTAATGACTGAAGAAGAGATAAAAATAAATTTTCTTAAAACTTTATCGAAAATCAGCAAGGGTTAGTGTCTTAGCAGACCTGATGAGGCTGTTGCCAAGAGCGCTCTGGAGAAGGCCAAACTTCTTCCATTTTACTGTACAAGCAAGAGGCAAGTTTCTGATCCTGACTGCTTTCCCAAGGGGCTTATTCTTATCAATTTATGTGTACGTGATGTTGAATTAAAATAAAACTGTCTGAAAGATGTTGCATTTAAGCGAAATTAAAAATATGTGAGGTGAGGTCTATATGACGTCAAACGTCGCTTAGATGTTTAGGGATTCATAACACTTAACAACCCACAAATTAAGTTAATCTTAATCACCTGGGATTTAAGATTTCAATCCACCGTTGTATAACGCTATTAAATGAAGCACCAGTGAAGCCAAACTTCTAGTATGAAGTATCTGAGATAATATTGAATATCAGGACTCACCGAAGGCGAACCACAAGTGGAAAGATGTACACCTTGTACCTTGTACCTAGTTCTTGTACCTCGTACTATCAGCCTACCGAGGACGTAATTATGGGACTCATTTTGGTAACAAGCTCGCGTCCCAAACATACCCATATTTCAGCAGTTGCGACATTTATCTGTGCAGAAAAAATGCGTTGTAACTTGCAAGAGGTTAAATGTTACTAGTGGCACCATTCCTTTCCCCCGTCCCATCCCAATTCCTTATCCTGACCCCCCTTGCAAGTGCTGCATAGTCATGATGGCTTGACGCTTTCCCCTGATAACTACCTACCTACTACCGATGTAAAAATGATGATAATAATAATAATAATAATAATAATAATAATAATAATAATAATAATAATAATAATATTGAAAATTATAAAACTAACATAAATTATAAAAGTTATATAATTTCATGATGACATTTAAATTAGATAGACATTTGTATTATTTTAATTATACAATATTTAAATTTTTAAAGTGAATGCAGGTTATGGTCTTTCAGTATGTTGCCAAAACGAACCCAGTCATTTTGCATAAAATGGATTATGCAAACGTCAGAACTGCAACTCTTCGTGCAAAAGCAACTTTAAAATAATTGCAACTTCTGTTCTGTCGTGGTTTGTTGTTTAGTCTTGATACAATATGAGAGAGTTGCAGAAAGCAAGTATAGCAACAGAAAGAATTAGAAACAAGATCTTTTATTATGAATCGCAAAGCTTTTCTTACTTACAAACAACTTGAAATTTTTTTCCTGTGTTCTTGTCACCAGTAAATGGCAGACATTTACTCTCGTCCCACATTGTTTCTCTAGTTGTCACAGAGGAACGGGTTTCTCTAGCTGTCACAGAGGAACGGGTTTTTCTAGCTGTGAAAGAACTTCAATTTCCCCGTAAGAGAAGCTTTTGATTTATCAGCGATAAAGAATCTCAACTGATACAGACGACGAGTCACAATAACGTGGCTGAAGTAATGAAGACTAAACCATTATCAAGTTGATTGTGAGACCGACTTGATAATGGTCCAGGACGGACCGAAACGTCGTCGTCTCCTCATCTTCTGGAGTGTGGTTTAATCTTCAAATCTTTATTGATAGTAAAAACTAGGGCTGTAACCTGGCTTACATATGTTGGCTGTTGTGGAACTTTGTGCGGTTATGAGTATAAATTTGAATTTTTTTCATTAATATACCTAGGTACATCTGTATTTACGTAGCTACCCTAGACTGTATAAAGAGTTGAATAGCCTGTGTCAGGAGCCAGGTGTGTGATGGTCAAAGATTCCCCCCATCTCTCAGGATAATTAGGCATACAGGCTAGGCATGTTATGTCAGCAGCCTGCACAGGTAAACTCCAGTTGAATTATGTTAATATCCTCAAGAACACGAGAGCAAATAAAGTAACAAAGAACACTCAAAGAACACTCCCGTTTCGTAGGATGATCTGTGGTAAGTTTAACGTTTTGTGTTGACCAGATCACACACTAGTAGGTGAAGGGACGACGATGTTTCGGACCGTCCTGGACCATTCTCAAGTCGATTGTCACGTTTTGTCTAACTTTTTGTCTCCTCAGGAATGGGACACAAGGACTGCGACGCCAACGGGACGTGGTACACCCACCCACACACCAACCAATCCTGGTCCAACTACACCACCTGTATCGACATTTCCAACCTTGAGGTACGGTGAGCCATTGTGTTCACTGACTATATAAATGTTACTCGCTCCACTACTGACGGGCTCACGGGTATTACTACTGTCGGGTATTACGGGCTCACCATAGCCCGTGCTACATGGACACTCATTCCTGAATAGCTAAATCTTTAACAACAACAACAACCACTACTGATTTACGGGCTATTCATGCCCGTGCCATCTCTTGGGTGGCTTAACCTTCATCAATCAATCAATCACTACTGTTATCCTATTTCTGCCTCATCTTCTGCTGTTTAATATCGTCATCATCTTGATCTTACTCTTCTACTTACTCATATTCTTCTTCTATTTCTCGTTCTCTCTCTGTTTTATCATCTCATTATATATATATATATATATATATATATATATATATATATATATATATATATATATATATATATATATATATATATATATATATATATATGTGTGTGTGTGTGTGTATATCACGAAAGTAAACACGTGATTAAAAATGTGACAATTTCAGACCACGGAGGAAAAATGAAACAGGACCTTCCTTAAGTACTTTCGTATATTAATACATCATCATCTTGACTCCTTCTGAAGATGTATTAATATACGAAAGTACTTAAGGAAATTCCTGTTTCATTTTTCCTCCGTGGTCTGACATTGTCATATATATATATATATATATATATATATATATATATATATATATATATATATATATATATATATATATATATATATGTCGTACCTAGTAGCCAGAACTCACTTCTCAGCCTACTATTCAAGGCCCGATTTGCCTAATAAGCCAAGTTTTCCTGAATTAATATATTTACTATAATTTTTTCTTATGAAATGATAAAGCAACCCTTTTCTCTATGTATGAGGTCAATTTTTTTTTATTGGAGTTAAAATTAACGTTGATATATGACCGAACCTAACCAACCCTACCTAACCTAACCTAACCTATATTTATAGGTAAGGTTAGGTTAGGTAGCCAAAAAAAGCTAGGTTAGGTTAGGTTAGGTAGGTTAGGTAGACGAAAAAACATTAATTCATGAAAACTTCTCTTATTAGGCAAATCGGGCCTTGAATAGTAGGCTGAGAAGTGCGTTCTGGCTATTAGGTACGACATATACATATATATATATATATATATATATATATATATATATATATATATATATATATATATATATATATATATATATATATATATATATTTGTAATTTCACATATATTATTATTGTTATTTAGTATTATTAACGCAATTTATTATTATTATTATTAGTGTTATTATGATTATTTAGATTATTATTATTATAATTAGTATTAGTATTTTCCCCGATGATAATGCTGAAGATATTGTTAATAGGCAGCTGAAGAGTAAGAGATGAAAGCAGTTGATAGTGATGAGTGACCCAACACAGAGACTCTATGCTCTGGCTACATCCTTGACTCTTTCCCAAGCGTACATAATATGCCTCTCTTCATGGCTCTTTCCACGGAAGCGTTCGATTCAGTGGTATTGAGAAAGCATCACAGAACGCACCCACACTAAACATCGTGGTGTACACACACACACACTGTAAACATCATGGTATTATTCAACATCGTCGTTATACATTATGGTATTAACCAAGAGTAAACAAGAAAGGTCTCTCGCTCTCCACAGCTCCATCAGGTAGTGACGAAGATCTACATGGCTGGGTATTCCATGTCCCTCGTCGCTCTCTGCATCTCTCTCTTCATCTTCTTCTTTTTCAAGTAAGTTAATGCTGCCTTGTCTCGTGCGAGAGTGTGTGTCGTGAGAGAGTGTTTGTGTCGTGGGAGTGTGTGCGTGTGTGTGTGTGTGTGTGTGTGTGTGTGTGTGTGTGTGTGTGTGTGTGTGTGTGTGTGTGTGTGTGTGTGTGTGTGTGTGTGTGTGTGTCGTGGTAGAGTGTGTGTGTGTTGTGGTAGAGTGTGAGTGTGTGTCGTGGTAGAGTGTGTGTGTGTGTGTCGTGGTAGAGTGTGTGTGTGTTGTGGTAGAGTGTGTGTGTGTGTGTCGTGGTAGAGTGTGTGTGTGTTGTGGTAGAGTGTGAGTGTGTGTCGTGGTAGAGTGTGTGTGTGTGTGTCGTGGTAGAGTGTGTGTGTGTTGTGGTAGAGTGTGTGTGTGTGTCGTGGGAGAGTGTGTGTGTCGTGGGAGAGTGTGTGTGTCGTGGGAGAGTGTGTGTGTGTCGTGGTAGAGTGTGTGTGTGTTGTGGTAGAGTGTGGGTGTGTGTGTCGTGGGAGAGTGTGTGTGTGTTGTGGTAGTGTGTGTGTGTGTGTGTGTCGTAGGAGAGTGTGTGTGTGTGTGTGTGTCGTGGGAGAGTGTGTGTGTGTGTGTGTGTCGTGGGAGAGTGTGTGTGTGGGAGAGTGTGTGTGTCGTGGGAGAGTGTGTGTCGTGGGAGAGTGTGTGTCGTGGGAGAGTGTGTGTGTCGTGGGAGAGTGTGTGTGTCGTGGGAGAGTGTGTGTGTGTGTGTGTGTCGTGGGAGAGTGTGTGTGTCGTGGGAGAGTGTGTGTGTCGTGGGAGAGTGTGTGTGTCGTGGGAGAGTGTGTGTGTCGTGGGAGAGTGTGTGTGTCGTGGGAGAGTGTGTGTGTCGTGGGAGAGTGTGTGTGTCGTGGGAGAGTGTGTGTGTCGTGGGAGAGTGTGTGTGTCGTGGGAGAGTGTGTGGGTGGAAAGTGGAACGTGACTTCACTGCTTCGCGCTAATTTTCGATGTGATCAACTGTGATATTTTCGTCTGGAGTCAGTTAATGCTATATATATATACCTTTACCTGCAGACTCGTTTGCATATTTAAACACGTACACCAACCCACACATGCACACAAACACAAACACACACGCCCATACATACTTTTTTTCCATCTCTCTCCCCTTAAAGTTTATTTTGCCTCCCACCTCCCCCATCAGACCTACAGCTGGTTCTCTCTCTCGCCCACCCATAGCAAGACTTGCATGGGACCAGTGTTTCTCTTGAATACAGATGACTGAGCTCTGAACCGCACGTTCCGGGAACCAGCACTAAAGCATTAAGCTTCGATTTATTCTTTCCATTAAATTAATATAAAATCCTGCCGCTAACAGGGATTCATAGGCACTTTGATCTTGCCTTATTTATTTAATCCATTTATAATTGGTTTCCATCAATGTTTTGGGAATTGAATGATTTATAGGTTATTTTTAATCATAAACAGCGTTTTTTCCCCCGTGTCCTTATTTTCCATATATTATTGAGAACAAATTAATGTTTTTACCCAAAGCTATCAGTGAAGAACTAAACTTTCCTCGGCGCAATATTAAACACACACACACACACACACACACACACACACACACACACACACACACACACACACACACACACACACACACACACACACACACACACACACACACACACATACATACACACATACACACACACACACACACACATTCACAACTAGGTGAATACACTCAAATTCATTCACCAAGCCGAACAATTTATCCCGTCTCCCATATAACAACAATATTTGTGGTCACTACCAAAAGACTTTATCAGCAAATTGAAAATTGAAAATCCACCTCACGTCCTCCAACGGCGCAGGAGAAAAACATCGGTGAGCCCAGTCATCTGGAGTCAGTTGCTCTGTGCCTGAGATTCCTAGCACTCCTCGAATGGTTTTTCAGTTTTTCACCATTTTATTAAAGAACACATTCAGGTATCAGTGGATTATTAATGTGTATTGAAGCATAATATTTTCCAGGTTTATCATGAAAGATTTCTAATAAGGCCTAATGACATCTAGTAAGGCTTATTGACATCTAGTAAGACGTTTTCTGCTCGTTGAGGAGTCAAACAGTGCTTGCTTGATGAGGTTCTGAGAGGGACGAAATTTCTGAATTTATTTTTTATTTTTACTGTGCTTATTTTTTACATCCAACCTCATATGTTGTGTGACATTACTGCCTTATATACTGATATATGTATATATATATATATATATATATATATATATATATATATATATATATATATATATATATATATATATATATATATATATATATATATATATATATATATATATATTAATAGTCTATCCTAATATATATATATATATAAAATATTATAAGCAACTCCATTTATCCCAATGTGAATATTACGCCCTTTCTGTTTTCAGGGTAGAGCACATTAGTTACTTTTTTCTTTTTAAAAGACTGTGTTTTTCTTGTTTTGAACACAGATTTGGCAGGATTCAGCCAGATTAGGTCAGGTTTGGTGATGCCAGATCAAAGCCGGGTTAGGTCAAGATAGACGAGGTCTGGCTATGGGAGGGGTAGGGGTGGGGATGGGGCGGGGTGGGGGTGGGGTGGGGTCGTGGTGGGGGTGGGGTGGGGCTGAGTAATCCGGTATAATCATAAAGTAAGAGAAGGGGATTTACAGCCAAGCCTCAACACCCACGTTCCCCCTCTCCTCATCTTTACATAGAACATGTAACTTCAGTGACTGCCGGTAACATGTATGGTTTTTATAGATATATTTTGTGTCAACGAATTTTTGTGTAATATTTAGACAAACATCCTAGAGTTGTTCGTGCCTATTCACCGAGCCCCGAAAGTAAATTCCTGAATGCATCAAGAACTTATCCTAACTGAGCTTAACCAGAACTATCTTTTTATAAGATAGACCATGACTGGTTAGATGAGGATAAATCAGATTTGTGAAGAACACGGAAGAAAGAACGTCATGACTGGTTAGATGAGGATAAATCAGGTTTAAGAAGAACACGGAAGAAAGAACGTCATGACTGGTTAGATGAAGATAAATCAGGTTTAAGAAGAACACGGAAGAAAGAACGTCATGACTGGTTAGATGAGGATAAATCAGGTTTGTGAAGAACACGGAAGAAAGTACGTCATGACTGGTTAGATGAGGATAAATCAGATTTATGAAGAACACGGAAGAAAGAACGTCATGACTGGTTAGATGAGGATAAATCAGATTTGTGAAGAACACGGAAGAAAGAACGTCATGACTGGTTAGATGAGGATAAATCAGATTTATGAAGAACACGGAAGAAAGTACGCGGTTCAGAAGTACACTTGGAGCTGCGACGCATACTATACCATACTGTACACTACGAGCTGCATACTACACCTTCTCCGGGGAATTGTATGAAGGGAGAAGACTGAAATATTTTCCTGCAGTGATTCGCCATAATTTCAGTGCAATTTTGTTGTTAAAATCCAGTAAAGATAATAGGTTAAGCGGGCCTGCAGGGAGAAATGGGTCGTGAGAGTAGGGTGAACTGAGCTGCGAGTGAGAGGTGAGAGGGGAAGGAGCTGGTGGAAAAAGGAAGGAAGAGAAGCAGGAAGAAAGGGAAGGAGAGAGAAGGAGAGGAAGACAGGAAGAGAGGGAGGGAAGAAGGGAGGGAGGAAGGGAGGGAGGAAGGGAGGGAGGGAGGTAGATAGTGGGGAGAAAGAAAGAGAGAGATAGATAGATAGATAGAGAGAGAGAGAGAGAGAGAGAGAGAGAGAGAGAGAGAGAGAGAGAGAGAGAGAGATGAGAGAGAGAGAGAGAGAGAGAGAGAGAGAGAGAGAGAGAGAGAGAGAGAGAGAGAGAGAGAGAGAGAGAGAGAGAGAGAGAGAGAGAGAGAGAGAGAGAGAGAGAGAGAGAGAGAGGGGGAAGAGTGGTGAGGTAAGGAGGAGGGAAAAGATGAACCCATCCGACACACACAACTAACTACAATGCTATTTGAACATTGCTACAACGTTGTTAAAATAAAAATAAATAAAACTTAACAACAGTTAAAAACGTTGTAGTTTGGTTGTATGTTCCCTGGGACGGAGGAGACATGGGGCTGGGAGAGAATGAGAAGCAAAGAGATTTATAGTCAAGAGAATTGGGGAAAAAAGATGAAAATGGAGATGGAGAGGGGAATAATGGAGCAGTAAATATAATGACCAGAGAGGGAGACAGCTGAAGGGAGAATTAGATAACAAATGCAATGTAAAAAGCGCAACGGCTGGAAGGAAAGGATGCAACTGAGAATAAATACTGGAAAGAATGGACGGAGTGGAAGAGACGGAACGGAAAGTATTGCGGGTATTAATATCCAATAAATAAGCTGCTTGAGACTGCTGAACTAAGGAACTCCCGGTGCCCCCTCGACGTCGTCTTGAGGGAAGGAACATCTCACATTTACTTCTCAAATGGAGAAGACGAATGACAACAAAACCAATATATCTTCCCTGTCACGTGGGACATTCTCCAAAGAAATTCATTTCCAGGTTGATTGAGACCTTGATTGGTCTCACATCACTAGAAAATCATAAGTCAGACGTCATGAAAGTAGACGCTACAGATTTATTGTCGTTGAATATATATTCGTTCCTGGGCTATAAAAAGCTCCTAAATGGAAATTTCACCTACAACCAATTTCTAGTTCGGGAATATTAATTGTGTTGCCCCCGGACACCATACCGATAACAACCATCACTATCTGCATTATTTTGATTGTTGTATATCACCATCATCACCACCACCACGAGGTAGGGGCCTCGTAGCCTGGTGGATAGCGCGCAGGACTCGTAATTCTGTGGCGCGGGTTCGATTCCCGCACGAGGCAGAAACAAATGGGCAAAGTTTCTTTCACCCTGAATGCCCCTGTTACCTAGCAGTAAATAGGTACCTGGAAGTTAGTCAGCTGTCACGGGCTGCTTCCTGGGGGTGGAGGCCTGGTCGAGGACCGGGCCGCGGGGACACTAAAGCCCCGAAATCATCTCAAGATAACCTCAAGATAACCTCAAGATAACCACTACTACCACTCCAACTACCACCACTTTATATTCTACTTCTAATGATCCTACCCCCAACCACCACCTCTTCTAACCTTACAACCAACAGTCTTCTCAATTAAAACCTTCACTATCACTACCCCTTTCCTCCAACTACTCAATCGTCACAATCTCCAAGGGCCACTATCTTCACCACTACTCCCACCACTAACCATCAGCCCCCCCCCCCCTTCAGCCACCTTAACGAGCCTCCTGACCCCAACGATGCTGTCCTCGTCAGGTCCCTCAAGTGCACGCGGGTCACCATCCACAAGAACCTGTTCCTCAGCTTCATCATCAACAACGCGATGTGGCTGGTGTGGTACGAGTGTGTGGTGAATAATGTCGACCTCCTCGCTAGCAATGCGGTAAGACCTTTGTTTCTCTTCTGGCACCAGCACACGCACGCACGCGCGCTTACACTCGCACACATACACACACACACACACACACACACACACACACACACACACACACACACACACACACACACACACACACACACACACACACACACACACACACACACGCAACTATGTAACAACTAAACAGGATCACACACACATCTAGGTAATGAACAACTAGGTCCCCGGAGTATATTATATAATAGAACTCATGTACATATTAATAAACACAAAACATGGACCAAATATTTATATTGCAGAACTTGAAATGGCTCAAAAAATTATACGTAGAAACCCAAAATGATTGAAGACTATATCAGAATCATTTAGCCTCATTACACAGTCCTCATGTTAAATTAATCTGAGGAAATTCGAACTAAGATTGACGTGCCTTCGAATACAGCCTCGAGTCACGGCATTTTGCAACAAAATCGCTGAATTAGGCTGCCTGTGGCACAAGAACTTTGCCTTCGGTCCAAGAGACACAGTCCAGCAGGTCAGAGAGAGAGACTTGAGGTATAGGATGAAGAGGATCCCCTTAATATTGATCCCACACATTAGCACGTAAAGACGCCGAGTTCCCAGAGATGATCATCTATTATAAACTGAGCCGTATACAGTGATATGATAGACACAGTTATATGCTGTGATCAACAACACCTTTATGCTGCGACAGAAAAACACAGCTGTGCACTATGATAAACACATCTTTAAGACATTGTGCTCTGCCACCTCAGTAACAGACGGCGTCGATAATATTGAGCTGGAGGAAAGATCTCAAAGAACACCTCCGGCTTGGCTCTGAGGCTCTGAGATCTTATATCCCAGGCTGTGAGCTGGGATCGCATTATCCCGATGAAAACTGTCCACCAATAAAAGCCTTGATTCGCTTTTGTTTTGTTCTGTCTTTATGTGGTTCAGCGCAGGAGTAGACGGCATCGGTCTGTTTATTTACGTAGTTCCCGGCATTCTCCTTAGTGGTTTTGTCAACACATATTTGTTTGTACATTTGCAGTTTATTCTGTTATGTTTATATATATATTAGGGTGTTGCCATGCTTCTTACAGTTGTCGGGAGAAAGTGCTGGGTTAAGTGTGTGGACTGACCTCTGTATAGCAGCAAAAGTTTCAAGAACTAATATAACTTTCTGAGAAACTTGTTGCATATAAGGCGCTTGTTCATTACAGCTATAATAGGTTTCATTGTATTTACGACATGCTTTTTTTTTATCCTAGTTTACATAATTATCATGTTTGTCGTATATTCCATTGTTTACAATCCAATCCTAGTTTACATAATTATCAAGTTTGTCGTATATTCCATTGTTTACAATCCAATCCTAGTTTACATAATTATCAAGATCACGAATATTATTTTATTTACAATCCAAAAATTAACATATTGTTCCCATTACCCCGTGGGTTACCGACCAAGCCAAGCACAGTCTCCCCCCACAAGGTCAATACTGACAATTTTAAGCACTAACGCCACCACACTGTTAACTTTAACTACGCCGTTGAGCGCGGGATAGCGTAGTCACATTAGTGGTAACGTCGTCATTAGTTTGAATAAGAAAACAATAGAGGGCTGGTGCAGCCAAGAGTGCTTGAGACCAGGGCGCTCCTGGAGTGACATCAACAAACAATAGAGGGCTGGTGCAGCCAAGAGTGCTTGAGACCAGGGCGCTCCTGGAGTGACATCAACAAACAATAGAGGGCTGGTGCAGCCAAGAGTGCTTGAGACCAGGGCGCTCCTGGAGTGACATCAACAAACAATAGAGGGCTGGTGCAGCCAAGAGTGCTTGAGACCAGGGCGCTCCTGGAGTGACATCAACAAACAATAGAGGGCTGGTGCAGCCAAGAGTGCTTGAAACCAGGGCGCTCCTGGAGTGACATCAACAAACAATAGAGGGCTGGTGCAGCCAAGAGTGCTTGAGACCAGGGCGCTCCTGGAGTGACATCAACAAACAATAGAGGGCTGGTGCAGCCAAGAGTGCTTGAGACCAGGGCGCTCCTGGAGTGACATCAACAAACAATAGAGGGCTGGTGCAGCCAAGAGTGCTTGAGACCAGGGCGCTCCTGGAGTGACATCAACAAACAATAGAGGGCTGGTGCAGCCAAGAGTGCTTGAAACCAGGGCGCTCCTGGAGTGACATCAACAAACAATAGAGGGCTGGTGCAGCCAAGAGTGCTTGAGACCAGGGCGCTCCTGGAGTGACATCAACAAACAATAGAGGGCTGGTGCAGCCAAGAGTGCTTGAGACCAGGGCGCTCCTGGAGTGACATCAACAAACAATAGAGGGCTGGTGCAGCCAAGAGTGCTTGAGACCAGGGCGCTCCTGGAGTGACATCAACAAAACAACAATATGAAGCAGTTGGGATTTTGGAAAAGACATATTCCCGATAACATAAGTTTAAGACTCTCTTATATAAAGAGAAACATTAAATGTGCAAAGGTTGGAAAGTGTATTAAATCTGGACAAAAATTGAGCTGAAATCTAAGCGACAAGAATAAAGTTAAGCAGGAGAGGATTTCGGCTGTCTGGAAAGCGTGTTCTCTCCTACGTCGCATTTTATTCGGGACCCCGACTAATCCGTTAAAAATACGACCTATTAGTGAAATATTTTATCATAGTATTTACCTCTTCTGTTCATCGGTTTCCACAGGTTAAATGGGATGCGTGGTTCGTGTGCTCTCGGTTAAGCGAAACTGCTGCATTTTGTTTTTTGCGTAGAAAAAGTCCTGTTGTTTAGTGAGCCGGACCTCACAACACCGCACCCCCTTCAACACTGCACCCCCTTCAACACCGCACCCCCTTCAACACCGCACTCCCCCTTCAACACCGCACCCCCTTCAACACCGCACTCCCCCTTCAACACCGCACCCCCTTCAACACCGCACCCCCTTCAACACCGCACTCCCCCTTCAACACCGCACTCCCCCTTCAACACCGCACCCCTTCAACACCGCACTCCCCTTCAACACCGCACTCCCCTTCAACACCGCACTCCCCCTTCAACACCGCACCCCCTTCAACACCGCACCCCCTTCAACACCGCACTCCCCCTTCAACACCGCACCCCCTTCAACACCGCACCCCCTTCAACACCGCACCCCCTTCAACACCGCACCCCCTTCAACACCGCACTCCCCCTTCAACACCGCACCCCCTTCAACACCGCACTCCCCCTTCAACACCGCACCCCCTTCAACACCGCACTCCCCCTTCAACACCGCACCCCCTTCAACACTTCACAACCCGACCACAGGGGCAGGAAAGTGTATAAGTACACCAAAAGTCAGAAACACACACAAGTAATCCTGAATTAAGTATATATGGTGACTGGTCAGAAAAATGATAATTGACGAAGATTAAGCCACCCAAGAGGTGGCACGGGCATGAATAGCCCGTAAAAGGTCAGTAAGGTAAATATATCTCTCCCTTTATGTTGCTGTTGTTTTAGATTCAGCTACTCAGAACAAAATGTTCCAAGCAGCACGGGCTATGGTGAGCCCGTAGTGGACTTACCTGGCACAGGAGCGGGGATATAGATTGATTGATGAAGATTAAGCTACCTAAAAGGTGGCACGGGCATGGATAGCCCGTAAGTGGTGGCCCTTTTGAGCCATTACCAGTATCAATAGTTGATACTGGAGATCTGTGGAGGTGCGACTGCACCCTGCGTGACGGGAGATGTCTCCCGTAGCAGGGATATAACGCTTCCTTCCTTAATATATCCCTCCCCTTATATCCTATACAGCCTTTATATCCGTCCCGAGGACGGTAACACAACACCACACTAAATGAAGACTGGCGTCCGCCCCAATCCGTAACATTTATATTAAAGAAGGTTCCCCTACTACCCCCTCCCCCTTCCTGTGCCAGGTAAGTCCACTGTGGGCTCACCATAGCCCGTGCTACTTGGAACTTTTTGTTCCAAGTAGTGAAACTTAAAAAACAACAACAACCCTACTACTCAGCTGCCCAATTTGGCTGCACGGACTCAGCTGTTTCCACGGAAGAAATGTTAAGTACTAGCAATCTAGGGAAGTAGCTGATGCAAGTAGTTTATGTAAGTAGTTGTAGTAAGTTCTATTAGTCTTGCCACCACAGGTACACCAGGGGGGGGAGGGGGACCACAGGTACACCAGGGGGGGGGGAGGGGGATCACAGGTACACCAGGGGGAGCAGGGGGGAGGCAGACCATAGGTACACCAGGGGGACGGGGGAGGGAGACCACAGGTACACCAGGGGGAGGGGGGAGGGAGACCACAGGTACACCAGGGGGGGGGGAGGGAGACCACAGGTACACCAGGGGGGGAGACCACAGGTACACCTGGGGGACGGGGGAGGGAGACCACAGGTACACCAAGGGGGGGGAGGGGGACCACAGGTACACCAGGGGGGGGGGAGGGAGACTACAGGTACACCAGGCAGGTACACCAAGTGAGTCGCAAGGGCTGGAGACAGGTACTTCCCCCTTTAAGCTAATAAATACGCCAGTTAAAAAAACCCAATGCACTAATATCATGTCAATTAATCAACAATGTGTTGTGAATATTACAACGAAGCTTATTAATCGCCCTAATGAAACTATCAGGCGCCCTTCAGGTGTCTCAAAAAAATATATAATCACCATTTGATTCCTGTTAATTCTTTCTCATTGTAGCTTTGATAGAGAATATCAATATTATATAATATAACATATATGATATATGTAATATAACATACATGGTGGTGTCTCCGTCTGCTTTAAACCTACCACGAATGCTGGCGAGCGGTCAGCAGGCCCACTGGGCCCAATATACCAGAATAATGTCGATTCGACCTCTTCGACGTTTATTTCGACGCCTTCGACGTTTATTTCGACGTTTTAAACGTTTATTTCGACGTCTTCAACGTTTATTTCGACGTCTTCAACGTTTATTTCGACGTCTTCAACGTTTATTTCGACATCTTCAACGTTTATTTCGACGTCTTCAACGTTTATTTCGACATCTTCAACGTTTATTTCGACGTTGGTTCAACGTTGCACTTGGGTATTATTCACACTACCTTGAGGTTACCTTGAGGTGCTTCCGGGGCTTAGCGTCCCCACGGCCCGGTCGTCGACCAGGCCTCCTGGTTGCCGGACTGATCAACCAGGCTGTTGGAGTACACTAGAGTACAGATGCATCATCGGCGTTGATATTTTGTTGGAGGAACGGTATTTAAGTGTGTACGTGCATTTCTTGAGACACCCTGTACATTATCGAGCACGTGTTTGGACGTTGCGAGCAATGTGGTGCTGTGCTCGGCCTCACGTCATTCCTACACACCGTCGCTGTGCTCGGAGATATAAATACTAAACAAAATTATATGTAGTAATAGGTATATAAATATTTGCTGAGCTATCTATTTGCTATCTATTTGTGTCGAGGTGTCGTAGGTGCTGTTATCATATCGAATATTAAAATAAATTCGTGTCGTGTTATGGCCAAGGGAACCTAAATGCTAAGGTCCACCGTAAAGTGCCCTCTTAGAATTTCACGAGGTGCACTTAGTGTGGTAGTGAATGGAGGCTGGGAGAGAGAGAGAGAGAGGGAAGGAGGGAGGGAGAGGCTTGACCTTTGACCTTCCATGAGGCTCGCATCTGCCTCTTCCAGCCTCCAAAATGAGCTTCGGACCACCGTCCCCAAATTGGTGTGGACACGTGGGAGGAATTGTAATTTTTTTGCGTAAGAGTGCACCACTCTTATCATTTTGAATTATTGTAAAATTCTCGTTATAAAAATGGTAGTCTCGTTATCGTGCGGGAGTTCCGCCCAGAAATATAAATATTTCATATTAATAATAAAGAAATATCGGCGGCGGCCTGGGTTCGAATCCCGAGTGGGTGGAGCAATGAGTTTAAATGATTTATATGTATGTATAAAGTCTTAGACATATATGTATAAGAAATGTATGATATTAGTGTTTATGGTTTTATTTTATTTTGTCTTCTAAATTACATGTACGAGGTCAGTTGTATTTCAGGTGTTAAAGTAGCTTTTATTTTGTTTTATTAAATTAACTTTTGATTTAACTTGGACTTTTTTACTTTTCTCCTGCTTCCCCATATTCTAATTGAAGTTTAAATGCGGCTTTTTGTTTGTTTACGCTACGTGAAGTAGAGCATCAACTGCGTATACCCGTAGTATCTTACTTAACTGAGTCATTTATAATGTAATCATATATGTATCATTTATACAGGTCGGTGCTCGATTCCCGATAGTCTAAATGGTTAGGCATCATTCTTTTCCTCCGTCCTATCCACATGTCCGACCAAGTATTGACCAAACCACACACCAGAAGACGAGGAGACGACGACGTTCACAATCGACTTTATAATGGTCCAGGACGGACCGAATCGTCGTCGTCTCCTCATCTTCTCATATGTGGTTTGGTCATCATATCTTCAGCCACGACAATGTAACTCATCGTCAGAATCTACTATATTCCCGTACTGCTTTTACCGCTTCATCGTCTTAATTATTTGCAGGTGGAATGTCAGGTGCTGCATGTTTTCCTCCACTACTTCCTCGTCTCCAACTACTTCTGGATGTTCTGCGAGGGCCTCTACTTGCACACGCTGCTGGTGGTGGCGTTCGTTGCGGAGGACAGGATCATGAAATGGTTCTACATCCTCGGGTGGGGCGCTCCTGCCATCTTGACCATCGTCTACGGGTGTTCGAGAGCCGCTGACAGCGCCCAGAATGTCCAGTGAGTGTCTACATAGGGGAAAGTTGATTTTTTTAATGTGGGTTATACGTCAATAATGTTTAGTGTGGTCATGTGTGGATAATGTTTAATTATGAAGAAATAATAATTCAATGATACAGGAAGTTCAATGATATTCGATGATTTTGTGTGAATATTATCGTCATCTGGCTCTTCTCCCTCTATTTCTTTCTATGTGTTTGTCTTCTCCTCCTCACCACATAGTTTATCTCATACACTGTGCTCGCGGAGGTTGAGCTTCGGCTCTTGGGTCTCCCCTGGTGTGTGTTTCACGCCAAACGAAGCACTTTCTCCAGTTGTCACGTCAGAACGCCACCCATTCCTTCAAGAATTTCGACAGCTGGCTTTCTTATTCCTTTGTCTCGATTCTCCCTCTGTCCCTTCTTACCTCCCAGTCTCGCTCCCTCCCTCTCATTCTTCTTTTCTCCCTCCTTCCTTTCCCTACCATTCTACCATTACTTTATGGAACGTGGTTCAACATCGATAACAGCCAAAAATTCGATTGAAAAACACTCTTATGAAACATGATATCCACACTTCAGATTTGATACTTGATTATTATGTAGTAGGAACCAGTCCTACTTAATGAGGAGCATGGGGGTCGACCCCAGCCACCCTATGACCCTCGTTATACAATCACACTATGTGTAATATATATATATATATATATATATATATATATATATATATATATATATATATATATATATATATATATCTATATATATATATATATATATATATATATATATATATATATATATATATATATATATATATATATATATTTTTTTTTTTTTTAAAGTTTGTGAGGGTACCACCTCTGGTGCCAATGTGGGGACCCATAGCCTCGGAGAAGAAAATAAAAAGCATTCAGAGGAGACCTTGTGGTTTCTCACTGAACACTAATATTATCTTCTCCTACCACCCCCATTCTTTTGTATGTACACATATATATTTACTTTATTTGAACTTTGTTATATATATATATATATATATATATATATATATATATATATATATATATATATAAATATACTCTTTTACTTCTCATGTATTCCTATGTATTTATTTTATCATGCATCTAATATCGCGTTCAGCTCCTCAAGCCAATGTTTTATACAGCTGTTGGATGGACAACGGACCATACAACTACATCCTGAGCGTCCCTGTGGTGCTCTCCTTGCTGCTCAACCTCTTCTTCCTGGTCAACATCGTCAGGGTCTTGGTTACGAAGCTGCGCGCCGTCAATACATCTCCAGACACCCACTCCACCCGCAAGGTCAGTGCCCAAATCCTACCCCACATGATATCTGCCTCGATATCCGCCCACTCCACCTATACTGTCAATGCCCCCGACACTAAAGGAAGACATTTGCTGAATCAGTGTACTGACAGCAACACTTGTATCGTCAGTGTTCTGACAGCAACAAAATACACCTGCAGGGTCATTCAGTGTCCTGACAACACACTACACCCACGAGGTCAGTGCCAAGACAATCACACACTCATCTAATAAGACCTAACAAGGTGAGTGCTGAGGCAACAGCTCTGTCCACGTAACAAGGTCGGTGCCTCATGTGACCCATTACACTGTCAAGGTCACATATTATGTCCAGAACTCTCTTCCCAGCGGCCTAAAACCAGAGCTGCCTTCCAAAGTTTCTTAATCTAAAAATGTTACAATATCGAGTTCCTGACTAAGCATATAAGCTCCATAAGTTCAAGTGGACGACTAGACGGAGCATTTCTCAGCAGAAGTATAATTCAATCACATATAACGGATAGGTAGCGTTGTGGAAATATGTGTAAGGAAATGTAGATGAGGTGGAATTCATGTTTTAATAAACAGTATGTACGAAAATGTGCTATACGGTATTACCACGGAGGATTGAACCTTAGACCAAGCAAAGAGCCACTCTGGCTTGTTGCGGGAGACCGCCTGCAACAATTTGTCTCTAAAATAGGAGCAAAATTGGGCCAGCCAGCTGCTGGTACCAATTTTAAAGATACGTCAGACAAGGCAGTATACACTAATGCAACTAACGAACGAACACAATGAAAACAAACGATGATGCTGCACTTGGGCCATCCGCTAACCATGTTACAGAAGTCTCGTACTAATAGCTGCAGTAAATCTAGATGTAGAGAGAGAGGATATTAGAGAAGGATGAGGAGGAAGAGTTCTTTAGAAAGACGATGACAAGGTCTGAAAGGAGAAGGAGGTAAAGAAATGGTTTATTTATTATCTTTTATTTATTTATAATGGTTTAATGGTTTGTTTATTTATCTATTTTATTTAGAGAAATATAAGTGAAATGGCAGATAGAAATCATATATATATATATATATATATATATATATATATATATATATATATATATATATATATATATATATAACCATTCGTTTCAACTTCCTATCTCATTGCAAATTAATGTATGGAGCTTCCTACTGAACCTTAATATTGTTTTTGACTCACTTTCATAATAATACATTCATCTTCTGCTTAATTAAATAATTTTTACAAAACTGCTTCATACAACAGTTGCCATATTTCCCCTCTCTCTCTCTCTCTCTTTCTCTCTCTCTCTCTACCCCCTTCTCTCTCTCTCTCTCTCTCTCTCTCTCTCTCTCTCTCTCTCTCTCTCTCTCTCTCTCTCTCTCTCTCTCTCTCTCTCTCTCTCTCTCTCTCTCTCTCTCTCTCTCTCTCTCTCTCTCTCTCTCTCTCTCTCTCTCTCTCTCTCTCTCTCTCTCTCTAGGTGGTGAGAGTGGGGCTATATTAACTTAATGTGTATGTGTATGAATGATCGTTTGCAAGTTCTAGCTCTTAATGCCCTCCTCAAATTAGCTTTTTTGTTCATGTTATTATAATTTAACTATTCATTAGTTCGAATTCTTAGCTGAATCTAACTTTAAAGTTGAGGTTGGAGGTGGCTTCTACAACTTAAGAGTATTCCACTTGTTGATCATGCGTATTTCCTGTGTGTGTGTTTGTGCACGCGCGTGTGTGTGCGTGTGTGTGTTTGCGTATGCATACGCAATCTTCAGAGACAAGTTTCTCTTTCTTAAAGTTGGAATAGTGCAATTATATTAAAATATAATGGTTCTAGAGACATTATTTGTACTACATTCAAGACTTCGAGCTAATGATGTAATTTGCTGATTATAGCCTGAAATAATTCTGGAAAAATATATTGTATAAATTTGTTTTTGATTAAGTGATAAACTATTGGTAGTTTGTGTTGCTGAACGCTGATTTATGCAAAATTATTAAACTTTATTGAACTGTGATGTTCTCGTATTTTGTCTATAAATATATTAAATTACCACATATCTTAACGTACCGTAAAATACAGAAATCATTCCAGTCCACTACATTATTCCACGTTACATACCACTACTGTATATGAACAAATAAACATCTAACTGCAATATTCAGCATACCACCAAAATATACCAATCTATTCCAAAACACTTCCACTTACAGTTGAAAATCTAGAGTATATCATACACACACAGAACACCACATATTTTATACACGGAACTTATCATACCATACACACGGAACACATAAAATACACACGAACCACCTCATGTTATTCACATGTGAACACTCCGTTCCATACACAGGGAACACCTCGTACCACACACGGAACACGTCATTCAACTCAATATGATTTTAGCCCATAGTGAATCAGTATATAAACCGTCCAATATTACCTCTCCCCACGTTCCCTCTTCACCTCAGAAACAATTATCTTATTAAGGGCTGATAGGAAAATACCCTTAACTGGACCGGATGACAACAAAGGACACATGAAAAGGAAGTTACAGGACCGAGTATCCTGTAATCTATAGATTTATGAAGGGTGGAATGCAGTGTCTGTGAGTTATTCCAGAGAGGGTTATATAATTATATACATCTGTTTTATTCCTGTGAGGTGATGGACAGACTGATATACTCGTGTGTGGTGATGGACAGTCTGATATACTCGTGTGTGGTGATGGACAGTCTGATATACTCGTGTGTGGTGATGGACAGTCTGATATACTCGTGTATGGTGATGGACAGTCTGATATACTCGTGTGAGGTGATGGACAGTCTGATATACTCGTGTGTGGTGATGGACAGTCTGATATACTCGTGTATGGTGATGGACAGTCTGATATACTCGTGTGAGGTGATGGACAGTCTGATATACTCGTGTGTGGTGATGGACAGTCTGATATACTCGTGTGTGGTGATGGACAGTCTGATATACTCGTGTGTGGTGATGGACAGTCTGATATACTCGTGTGTGGTGATGGACAGTCTGATATACTCGTGTGTGGTGATGGACAGTCTGATATACTCGTCTGTGGTGATGGACAGTCTGATATACTCGTGTATGGTGATGGACAGTCTGATATACTCGTGTGAGGTGATGGACAGTCTGATATACTCGTGTGTGGTGATGGACAGTCTGATATACTCGTGTGTGGTGATGGACAGTCTGATATACTCGTGTGTGGTGGTGGACAGTCTGATATACTCGTGTGTGGTGATGGACAGTCTGATATACTCGTGTGTGGTGATGGACAGTCTGATATACTCGTGTATGGTGATGGACAGTCTGATATACTCGTGTGTGGTGATGGACAGTCTGATATACTCGTGTGTGGTGATGGACAGTTATATATCTGTGTGTTGTGATAGAGAAGATAAAGTGTCTGTGACCAATGTGTGTCAGGCTGTTATATATTTGGGAAATGATGTGAAGGTTTCAATGAGTCATGAGGGGAAGGTTAAATTATTCGTGAGTGATGACTGACTGGTTGAAGTGTTCATGAATGATGATTGACTGACTGCAGCATCCGTGAGGAGTGATTGACATATTACAGTGACCTTGAGAAGATGATAGATAAGCTGAAGTCTCCTTGAATGGCAGAAACAGGCAGTAGGACCGTTGCAACAGCTGCACTAGTAGAAGTAACAGTATGAGAAGTAGCAGTAACCTCTTCCACAGGCGGTGCGCGCGACTCTGATCCTCATCCCGCTTCTGGGTCTCCACTACATCCTGGTTCCCTTCAGGCCTCCCATCGGCTCCCCTGGCGAGGAAGTTTATCTTGTGGTGTCCGCCGTCGTCGCCTCCTTCCAGGTGAGTCCTTTCCCCTCCGGGTGGGTCGTTCTTGCAGCCGAATGATTCATTCTTCACTCCTGAGTAGTGATCGTTCCCACCGGCTAATTCGTTCTTCCAACCGGATGCAGCGATTTCTCCTCTTCCTAATGCTAATCGGTCATATTCAATTCCCACTAATCTGTTCTTCCTCTCATTTTCCACACCCTCACATTTACTCTTTCGTCTTTATCTTGTTACTACGTTTCTCTGATTCCTTTCGTTCTCTTCCCATTTATTGATTTAGGCAGCTACCACCTCTTTCCTTCTCCAATCCTTGATTAAGCGAACCTCTTAACCCCATACTTCTTTTTCTTCTATTCTCTAATTACCGTTTATATGTTCTTCTATTCTATAATTACCGTTTATATGAAACTCGTTTTGCCCTTTCTTACCCTAATCATTTATTACCTGCCTCTCCACCCCCTTTTCGGTAGACTGTTTACCCACTCCAGCTTTATTCACTCTCTCTCTCTTCCTCTTTCATCATGTTTAATGGGGTCCTATAAAGGGGTCCTATAAAGGGGTTCTCATTCTCTCATAGACCTTCGCGTCCCAACATCCTGCTTCATCTGCACACTGGAATGTGCAGCAGACCTGCCTTTGGAGCTATTAACATATCCTGCCTCAGTTAACATGATAATATTTGATGGTATTTGATGTTATGTTTATTGAAATGGTCAAACCAACGAAGTTGATGACTAGTCAATTCATCGAATTATAGACAATTTATGTTTATATGACAAGTAGTTAATATTTTGGAAAATAATAAATAATGGTCGATAAATGATCGACAAAAATAAATTAGGTATAGAACTAGCTGGTTGAGTAACTCTTTTTTCAACAAGATGCATCCACTGGGACTGTTTGTACAGCGACGATCTCGCTTCTTGCAGGTCGGCGTCCTGTAACACCACTATATAATATGAACTAATAATGTAACACTAATATACTTATACTGAGTAACACTTCCTATCGGTTGCACTTGGTAACACACACGACCGGCAAGGGAGCCGGTCGGCCGAGCGGACAGCACGCTGGACTTGTGATCCTGTGGTCCTGGGTTCGATCCCAGGCGCCGGCGAGAAACAATGGGCAGAGTTTCTTTCACCCTATGTCCCTGTTACCTAGCAGTAAAAATAGGTACCTGGATGTTAGTCAGCTGTCACGGGCTGCTTCCTGGGGGTGGAGGCCTGGTCAAGGACCGGGCCGCGGGGACACTAAAAAGCCCTGAAATCAACTCAAGATAACCTCAAGATAACTTTGCTATTGAACACTGTATTTATAATTAACGTAACCAAAGGTACCCTTCCAAGGAAATGCTTCACAGGATTAACTACACTCCCACCATCTGCCTTGTCCATTAACTATATCAAGCAGCGAGGCAAGAAACATTGCTTGACTTGGAGAATCCTTTCTTTCTTTAACTGTCATTAATTATGGGACGGTTGTCAGCCCACTATATCCAAAAGGCTAAGAAGATTCAACAATTGACACAGACGGGAAGTTTAACAAAGTTTATTGGGAATCAAATTATGTTATTCACCACTATAAATCCTACTCTAACACTGGCCAATAGTTAAGAAATTTAGACATGGAACAAAACCTCAGAGATCACACTTTACCTTAAAACCTCTGTCTCTCCCGGGCTGTGTGATGTTCCCCACAGACCCTCTCTGGACCCTGGTGTCTGGCACTCTCTCCAAACTAAGTCTGCTACAGGACCATATGTACACCCCAAAAAGGGGAAGGGGTAGATTTGCTGTTGCTACCTGCACCGAAGATGCAAGAGATCGGGCCACACGTGCACAAACACTCAAGAATTTTTCCATTAAGCTTGTTTGACATTCACCATACACTCTTCAAGAGAGGAATTATTAATTACGTGCGTGACTGACCTCTGACCTGGCTAAAAAGGGGGAGATCCATGGATATTTACACATAAGAATCTGGGGTCTAATTCCATTGCAATGTTTGACAAGAGTATCATGAAATATTACATACTTGAAACTAACTGACTAAGACTAACCCTGGAATTTTTAATCAACATACAAGATAATCCAGATGTTATCTGGGCTGATCTCTTGGAGAAGGCTTCCCTGGGTGCAAACTCTAGGGGGAGGGGGGTCATGTGTGTTACAATTCGATTCCCGTGGTTCAAGTGCTAGGGCAAGGTTGCTTTACTCCTTTTATCCTGTCTCCTTATCCTCAAATCCCTTTCAAAGCTATATAGTCATCCTGGATGTCTTTTTTTGTTTTGTTTTAAATTACCTTCCTTCTTTAGTCTAAGTTCAGGGATTAATATTATAAATAATCTTTGACAAGGATTTTTTCCAGATCTAAACATCGTTGGTTGTTTGTCCCCGTATATCTGTTTATTATTTACATATAAGAACAACTCAAATGATACTAATATATAACGATAAGGGTATTAACTGTTCCTTGCTTCGTACAGGGTCTTGGAGTGTCTCTTCTCTTCTGCTTCTTCAACGGAGAGGTAATGTACCACCTGTTGGATGTGTCTGCTCATCATCCTCAGTTACCACAGTCTCGTTGACCAGACCACACACTAGAAGGTGAAGGGACGACGACGTTTCGGTCCGTCCTGGACCATTCTCAAGTCGACTGAGAAACGTTGTAGTCCCTTTACCTTCTAGTGTGTGCGGTCTGGTCAACATACTTTAGCCACTTTATTGTGACTCATCGCCTGCACCACAGTCTCACTCACAAGCATGCCTTCACCTAAACCAGGGTTGTTCGTGCCTTCTGAGGTGCAGTAGTGGTTGAAATCCCTCTGGTGAAATAAACTAAGCATTATACTCAGAATGGTGAGACTGAATGCAGAATGCTTTGTCAATATTACGAGCTTCTCACAATAAACAGAACATGCATTTCCTTGTGAAGCGAATTGATTTTTTTTGTGATCAGAGCATGTAATTAACCTTCTCATACGGGTCATGATGGAGCCACTCAAGCAGACATGCGTTCTGGGTGCTGTAATCACACACAGCTTCCAGATACCCTGGAATCCTGTCTTATTAAATCATAGGTTTGTTCTAATTGAATTTTGTTAACACATGAAGGTTTATTCCTGTAGCAACTTTTGAATATACATGTGAAGGAAAATTGAAGGTTTATCTTAAGTTATTTATGCCAGAAAGTTAATATTTATTATTACCGTCGAGGCCGCATTTTGGTGGGAAAATTCATATTGGTGGGCCTCAGAATTATATGTTTATGTTTATATATATATATTGAAATAAAGTGACGATGTTTGCTAAACTCTCGTTGTTCATCACATGGCTGGGTGGAGTTATTAATACAGAAAAAATGCTTTAACAACAATGCTAAAACAAATATGTAGGGATATAATATTTACATATGTATCGTTGTTTTGTATAGCAAATATGCATGTTAAGTTACGTTTGCAGGGTCTGACTACTCCATATGAGGAAATCGCTTTAGTCCAACAGGCGAAAAAATACAAAATGCAATAAAACTGAGTAGCCAAATGAGCCACAGAGACATTAGAAAAAACTTTTTCATTGCCAGAGGAGTTAATAAATAAAATGCATTAGGCAGTGATGTAGTGGAGTCTGACGCCATACACAATTTCAAATGTAGATATGATTGAGCTAAAACCACTCAGGAATCTGCACACCAGTATATTGGTAGTTGAGAGGCGGGACCAAAGAACTCAACCCCCGCAAGCATAACTAGGTGAGTACACACACGCACACACATCGGGGGCATCCCGGCTGAGACAGAAACATATGGTCAGAGTTTCTTTTACCCTGAAGCACCTGATCACCTAGTAGTAAATAGGTACCTGGAAGTTTGACAGGTTAGACAATTCCTGTGTGTATGTGTGTGTGTGTGTGTGTGTGTGTGTGTGTGTGTGTGTGTGTGTGTGTGTGTGTGTGTGTGTGTGTGTGTGTGTGTGTGTGTGTGTGTGTGTGTGTGTGTGTGTGTGTATTCATCTAGTTGTGTTCATCTAGTTGTGTTTGCGGGGGTTGAGCTTTGCTCTTTCGGCCCGCCTCTCAACTGTCAATCAACTGTTTACTAACTACTTTTTTTTCCACACCACACACACACACACCCCAGGAAGCAGCCCGTGACAGCTGACTAACTCCCAGGTACCTATTTACTGCTAGGTAACAGGGGCACTCAGGGTGAAAGAAACATAGCCCATTTGTTTCTGCCTGGTGCGGGAATCGAACCCGCGCCACAGAATTACGAGTCCTGCGCGCTATCCACCAGGCTACCAGGTCCCACCCATCCTGTGTGTGTGTGTGTGTGTGTGTGTGTGTGTGTGTGTGTGTGTGTGTGTGTGTGTGTGTGTGTGTGTGTGTGTGTGTGTGTGTGTGTGTGTGTGTGTGTGTGTGTGTATGTGTGTGTGTGTGTGTGTGTGTGTATGTACTCACCTAGTTGTGCTTGCGGGGGTTGAGCTCTGGCTCTTTGGTCCCCGCCTCTTAACTGTCAATCAACTTGTGTACAGATTCCTGAGCCTGTGTGTGTGTGTGTGTATGTACGTGTACGAGTGTAAGAGAGGAATATGTAATAGATATAATAGGGGAAAAATACATCGGATAGAAAGGCGAATGACACGATTCAGCAGGCACAAATAGTAAATACAAATAGTAAACACTCCCCCCTACACATACACACACATACATACACATTTTCACACATACATAAATGCAAGCAAAGGTGCACGAGGAAGACAGTCTGCAAGAAAACTAGTTTAGCAAATATTAGTAATCAGGTCGCCAGGGGGAACATTGTAAAGCAACTTTTAAAAAGCACATTTGAAGCTACGAAGAACTACCGAACAATTTCTTCTCTGCCTAGTAGTTTTCTCATCGCAAATATCGTCTCATTATACTCTCATTAGTTACTTCAACTGTAACTTTTCTCATTTTAAAGTTCTCGTCCTTCCCTACCTCCTTCACATCGCCGCTCTCATTTGTGTTAATGGGTTTCGTCTGTCCACACGGACTTCTTTATACAGAAAGATTCAGCTATAAAAATGACACATATTGTATATTTTTCATTTTGTAAATTTTTTTTTTGTCTCTATGGTCATTTGTTATGTATATACAGGTGGAAACTAAATTTAATGGACTTTATTCTAAATATGTTCTGTTTTCGCCCAGTGACAAGGAAATGTCTTAAACTATAAAAACACACAAAACTATTCATCTGTAATATTATAAAAAATGATCATTAGATTCTTGGTTTGCTTAGCTCTCTTGCGCCTGTTGACTTTGCTCCCAAGACTAACACGAGAGGTCAGGAGGCCTCCTTGACTCTTAACTCCATTTGCTGGAGGAACGTACATCTCTCCCTCTCTCTGTCTCACTCTTTTCCTGTCTCTCTCTCTCTGTCTGTCTCACTCTCTCTCTCTGTCTCTCTCTCTTTCTCTGTCTCACTCTCTCCCTGTCTCACTCTCTCCCTGTCTCTCTCTCTCTCTCTGTCTCTCTGTCTCTCTGTCTCTCTGTCTCTCTGTCTCTCTCTCCCCCTCTCCCCCTCTAGCCAGTCATTAATACTGTCGCCTACAACCAGTTTTTCTTTTAAAGCAGCACAATGCAAACGCAACTCAAATTAATCCCTGTACGACTGACTGTTGCTCATTCATCTCTATTGTCCGTCCCTCGTCCTGAAAATGGTTAAATACATAAAACACAGTTTGTGTTCCGGTCAGTAACTTCTGAGCAAATGGATGTAATAATTTTATTATTAATTTATTAATAACTTGCAGTAGCTGTAATCTTAAAATATTAACCAGGAAATATATATATATATATATATATTATATATATATATATATATATATATATATATATATATATATATATATATATATATATATATATATATATATATATATATCCAAGAAAAAAATCACATAGTACCGCATTCGTCGAACATTTCCGTCATGATAGAAGCGTGTTTCCCATCGAGCACTGACGATGCTTCACACGTTCACTATTATCACTTCGTCAATCTTAATGAGGAAACTTCACTCATGTGGCACTTACCTATGTACCTACCTGCCTATCTGCCTACTAGGAAGGTACTAGGCAGGTGCCAATGCTTTCCTTCTTGATTACTAGCCTGGCTACCTATCTACCTATCACATAGAAAACATAACGACTATGTCATTACATATATACATAACGACTATGTCATTACATATATACATAACGACTATGTCATTACGTATATACATATCTATGTGCTGATAACCATCTACTCACATCCTTTACATATCTATTCATCTTATCTTCCTTTTAGCTATCTTTTCTCTGGTTAACGTACCTGTACCTACCTCCATACCTTTCTTCCTATTCACACCCCACTTCCCTTTATTCAGTCCCTTTCCCCAATTTTAGCTTCTTAAAAATAATTTCACTGTCTCCAATATATCAACCGCGT